GCAGGGTCCCAGCTCTAGAAGGGAGGGATCACTTGCCCGTCTTTCAGCTCATCCAAGCATCTTGGGGGTTTAGAGTCTGTCAGGTCTGGCATTCCTTTGCTCTTATCACTCTCTACCCCTTCAAAAAGGCAATTGATTAGTTTCAGCTTTTCCAAACCGAGATCCGATACGTTTCTGAGGATCAAAAGTCCTTGAGAAGCTCTGACAGAAATGGGGGCAGGAGGGGAAAGGCACATGCTGGGGGGGGGGGGGGGGGGGGATGGGAAATGTAAAGTAGCTGGGAGTCAAAATTTGCTTTCCATCTCAAGGAACCCAGGGTATGTAGAGAGGTTTATGATTTTTTCCTGGAAAATGCACTTAACAACTTAAGATTGTCTTCTCTTTCCAGGAGCAAATATATACAGGAGAAAATAGATGATCTTGCAAAGGAGGTTGATGATTTATGCCTGGACTTTTCCTCCAAGCATTTGCCTCCCTTGTATTTACAGGCGTGGCCCCAACTGCAAGTTGTACATCTGTTCTCTTCACGTGACATTTCATAAAAGCCCTAACATCTGGGCAAGATAAACTTCCTTCAGGTACCTGCTTCACTTTTCACTGGTCACACTCACGTCACCCCTAGTGAGTCCCTTTACCCCTCTGGTCCCTGCTTGCTTTGTTCTAAAGTCCCACCGCCCCTCCCTTACTGGCCCCCAGCCCTCCTTGCCCCACCTCCCAGCGCCAACCAACACTAGGGCCAATTTCTTTGCCAGATTCCCATTTCTGGGTCTGCCTTCTCTGGTTGAACCAGCAGGTAAAAGAGGGCAGCTTTTTGAACCCCGGAAGTGAAATCCTATTTTGATTCAGACCTCCACTGCAAACCCAAACAAATCAGAACAAACCGCGTCAGAAGCAACACTGAAACTTCCACTTAGACCCCCGGTCTCCTGCACAGCCAGAGGAGGAGCTGATGTTTGAGGCTGGTTTTCTTCACTGAGCATTCACTCTATCTGGGAGACCTTTAAAAACTGCAAGTTTTACAGCAATTTCATTTTCCTGGCTTGCAATCCTTCCTCCCCTGCCCCAGAAAGCTGGGATGCGCGTGTTTTTAGCATGGTGTTTTATTGTTGTTATTATTTTCCTTTTTCTAATCTGGAGTTTTGATCTTCTGGCTCCAGCCTATATCGCATGCAGAAGCATGAAGACACCAGCGAGAGGGAAAATCAGAGAGAGGAGGCAAAGAAAAGAGTCCACGTAAACAAGAAAGGCTGCCATTGGAGACCATCGCTGCTACACCCCCAAATGGTTGCATGGCGCCCACAAAATCCCGGCTATGTAATTGAGTGTTTTCTGAGGTTTTTTTGACCCTGCGTTCTTTCCCATGGATACTACGAACTCTCCTACAGAAAGCTGGATCTTCCTGCAGATCTTGTCCCATCCTTTTCCCAAGACTTATCTCCCTAGCAATTTATAAAGAATATAAAGGGGGAACTTTTGTGCCAGTGATTTTAACCTGCCCCACCTTCCAGTGACCTGCCATATGCTCCTTACTTTATAGACATCTGGGAATTCCATACGTTCCTTAAACTCCAATTACACACCTTCTTCAAAGGACACGCGCTCTGATTTGTTAAGAACATTAAGTGGACTCAGGTCCTGGAGCCTTGGGACAAAAGCAAATGGAAAAAGTATCCTGAGCCCTGTTTACTGTGCAGAAAATAGGCATAATTGATAATCCTGTTCCCCTTGGTGAGGGGCCCCTTTGTAACTGAGTGTAACACAGGGGTCCCTGGAAAGTGGTCTCAGACTTTCAGAAATTCAGAGGCACCAGATTGATTTCTCTTTTCACTTTGCCAGAGCGCTGCTTTCCTTCCATTTTCTCTGGGTGCACATGTCTTCACAACACACAAGCAGAAAATTCTGGAAAGTGCCCCCCAGGGGGGTGAGCCCCCCCACCCCCACCCCGCTGACCCCCGTTTGTCACCAAGGCAGGCCTGTGTCTGGAAATCTGAGGTTGGGCCTTTGCCTGAATCTGTTGTGCTCCTTTGCTACCGCTGACACTTGGAGCTCCCGCCTCTGCGAAGCGGCCAGCCCCGCGGTCACCGGACGCGATGGTCCACGCTGTCCGCCCGCCCCGCCGCGGGCACCGACGTTGTCATGCTCCCCACAGTGCGGGCTCCGTCTGCCACCCACGCGGGAAAGTCTGGCCCGCACCCCCCTCCAGCACTCGCAGCCGCAGGTGAAGACTCCGATCCCCAAGGAGTTCTGTTTGGGTTTCCGTGGCGTTTGTTCCCCGCAGGTTTGTTTGTTTTTCTTCAAATTACAGATGCAGGGAAAACCGCCTGACATCATGAGAGTGGGACAAACGCTCACTTTGAAGGATTCCTGGGCAGGACTTCAAGTGAAATCATATGCCTGAGAAGAACTTGATACCGGTCTAGAGAAAATAACCAGTTCTGAGTTTGCCAAACCGTGGAATGTGCAAAATGCTCGACTTTTTTGCAAGAGGCCAAGTGTCCCTTAAAAGCTCCATTATGAATATGAGCTTGAAGATTTAAGGAGCATGAAGCTCGTCCCGTTGTTGAGTGGGAGAAACGAAAGTGTACATCAAGTGTGAGTTTTTGCTATTTTACACTACTATTATTATTAATATATTCCACTTTGGGTAGCATACCGACAACTGTGCATTTTCAGCGTATATACATTTTGCAAGTGTGTTCACTAATAGTGGAGATGTGTGTGTGTGTGTGTGTGTGCGCGTGTAAGTTCACTGACTGCCACCAATCCAGTGAAATTAAAAGCAACACTTTAAAAAGTATGTATGCAATAAAGGAAACATTCTTACTCGTAGCTTAGAATTTACCCAGGACAATTTAATACTTTCCCTTCAATAAATATGGTAAATCGGTAGAGATTCCCAGACCAGCCACCACATGAAATAACCACTTCTGAAATAGAGGTAATTCATCTTACTACTTGAAAAGAATAGGTAGTAAAAAGTGAAATCAAATGAAAATTGAAAATACGAAAAAAGAAACAAAACAAAGACTTCATTTCTAGATTTAATAAAGAATCTGCACTATATGTGTATGGTGCAGAACTTGAGAAATGCATTTTGCAAGCCAAAAACTGTACTCTAATAGTTAATATTTTCCACCATGACTTCTGACTCAAAGTAAAGCTATTTACCATCCTTCTTCCATTCATTTCTTTCTCAAGAAATTAGGAGAAAATATTAACTTCGGTTTGGTATTGAGTATCACTCAGTATAAACAATGTGGCTTTTGCTTCTAATGTGTTTTTCCTTAATAAAAAATAAGTGGAGAAAACAAAAGAAAATAAAAGGGCAAATAGAGAGCTACCTCTTTTTGAAACTTCTAGTTTTTGTATCATGAGAGTTTAGATATTACCTTCTCAGCAATGATGGGCAGCTCCATCCTGATGTAGGTCAAGAAATCTGAAATACCAAATAGTCAGACCAAACTAGTGAACAAGGGGATTCCTCCATGAGCCATTTAGAAAATGGAGGTGGTTGGATGAAGCATGAGAGAGAGCATTACCAAACTGAGGTATATCCTATCCGTCTAGGGCACCCTCCTTACATTTCTATCCTACACACATACACATACACACACACACACAGAGGCACATACACACGTGTTCGAGTGTGCACACACACACACACACACACATTCGCCACCCACAAATACACCCATGATTCACAAATATACTCATAATCACTTTCCTTTCTCATTTGTAAAGGACTATCAAAATAAAAATAAAAGAATTATCTAAACCTTCAATAATATTTAAATATAAATGCTTCAGGCTAAATAAGATAAAATATGGCCGAAAATAGTCATAGATTTACAGTATTGTGATGTCAGCAACCTATGATGATGTGTGGAGAAACAAAAGCCTTCAGGCAAAATAACCTCAACTTGAGCTAAGCAAACTCTTGGATTCAGATATCATTTGCCATAGTCATCATTTGAATTAGGCAGCAAAATTATTTTCCAGTTTTAAGGTGTTGCTAACTCCACTGAAATGTGGTAAACTGAACATAAAAGAAATAAGTGATACAAATTCACTACTTCTAATGATATTATAAAAGTCAACATTTTCCTGGACCAGAAATAAATAAAACAAAAAATAAGTGCCACTTGTTCCTTATTATTTAATTTTATCAGATTTTGTATACTTGTCACTAATCAGGGAAAAGCTCCATGTAGTTTTCGATAAAATATATTTGCTAATGAACCAATTTAGAGACACTTAAAATTATAATTCTTCCAGCAGTTACCTAGGATACTGAAAGTTCAGGTCTTTTTATTTCACTCCACAACTCTGTTCTTTATATATAAAGGAAGATGTTTCTCAAAAGATTAATATAAGAAAATATTCCTAATATTTTTATTCCTTCATATGACACATAAATGTCTTCACTCATGAAAAGATATGCATACTGACTTTACATGAATTGTTTTCTGAAGACATTATGCAGAATTTTCTCTTTCCTACTAAGCTTTGTTCTTTTCTATTTGTGTTCATTTACTTTTGTTTCCAGGTAGGTAATTTTAACACTGCTTGTGCCGCCTTTTGCTCACTTTAAAATCTTCACAAAGAGTGGAGAGCAAAACAAAAATACACAGGAGCAAGAGAAGAGTGCTGGTTCATACAGATTATTGGCATTGAACTGTTCTGCAGTTGCCTCCTCTAAGTATGGGCAAGAGATAGGTGAATAGCAAATGGAAGGTTTTTGCTGTTGGGGACCTGATAAGAGATGAAGGAAAGATGCCACCAAGGCCACTGGACACCAAACTGGAATAATAATAAAGCTGTCTTTCTAAATAACATGCCTGTGCCTGTCAGTAGCTAGTTTATTTGCGTTTTTCACTGCTTTGTTTATATTAGTGCCCCCCTCCCTCTTGGGTGCCTCCAGAGTTAAACAAGCAAGTATTTACCTCCAACTTAATCCTGAGTTTAAAAATTATAGACCAAACTCTAAGATTCTTAAAATTTTCAATCATATTTATTTATTGCAGAAAAATAATATACAAAGATATTTACAAAACAATCATAAAAATATGAATGCATTTAGACACCGGATCTATTTGCATTTAACCATGGGTCATCAATAAATAAATAGAATGTTGTTTTTTGTATTTTAAGTTTTTTTTCCCCTCAGAGGAAGAATAAAAAAAGGGATGAACTATGATTTTGCAAGTCAGTTCGTTCCCAATATTTTTTATTTCTAAAGATGGTATTAAAATTCCTCTGATTGTTACCATTTTAAAATGGAGAAAAGTCCATAATGATGCCTTTCCTTTCAGTGGCTGATTGGCACGACCTCTTGAGAATGCATGCATGAAAAAGTAAAAAACATTCTTCGTCCAAAAAAAAAAAGGAAGAAAAGAAGAGACAAGAAAAAGGAACACAAACAACTGTTCAAACTTCTATCAGAATGTAGAGGTGAGGATGGTGCCGCTGCCCGTCTGGAAATCACTGTCCACGGGCCTGTCTCGCTTTCTCTTTTAAAAGTGCGCCCCACGCCCTGTTTCTTTGAATTTAGGTTCTGCTCTTCTAATTTCCAAGAAAATCTTTGGCATATAGATTTAGTTTTAGTTATCCAGCTCCAGAGTCTCTAGACTGTCCATTTTCTCCTTCTCTGGAAACAATGACATCTGCAATAAACCCAGAAGGAAGGGGGGGAAAGTTGGTTATTTATTTATTGTTGAGGTGTTGGAGGCTGTTTTCTAAGACTAGTGAGCACAGTTCTTATCACCACCACGGAGAAATGACGCTCAACAACCTGGAAGGATTTCAGCCCTAGGGCAAGAGGAAGTGGGTGGGCGGAAAGGAGGTGGTGGAATTTGGAAACATTTGTTTTAAGGAGAAGGAAAACTTCCAAGCGCCCCAAGAAAGGGAGGCGCTGGCAAGATGGTCCTCTGGCCCGAGATCCTCCAATCTTCCCCATCCTTCCCTCCAGTCTCTCACGCACACTCACGCGCGCACACACACAGCCTTAGCCTGGGCGCATCCCCGGGGAAACCTCTCTTCCTAGCGGGGAAGGAAGTGCCTGCCATGGACTGGAAAGTGGGTGGGGGGTAGGATCGCGGTGATCCGGGTGGGGGCCAAGACGATCCTGTCGCCGGGGATCGAGTGGAGGGGAGGTGGCAATGCCAGGTCGGGTGGGAAGGGCAAGTGGCAGCGGGGCGAGCCTCGGGTGCCACCTGAGCAGCGGCAAGCGCGGGGCGCGGGTCCTTACCTAGGTCTCCGGCCCTGCCGAGGGAGTGGGGGGCTCCGCCTGCTAGTGGGACGCTGACATGGACCAGGCCCCCTCCATCCTCCAGACCGAGAAGGCGTAGCTGAGCCGCTCGTGGGCCACATAGCTGCAGCTTGCCATCTTGGAGTCCAGCTCGTCGCTCTGGAGGACCTGGTAGAGGAAGTCGATGTACCTGGCGGCCAGCTTGAGGGTCTGGATCTTGCTCAGCTTGTCCGAGGGCAGCGTGGGGATGATCTTCCGCAGCGCGGCGAACGCCTCGTTCAGCGACTGCGTGCGTTGGCGCTCCCGCACGTTGGCCATGACCCGCTGCGTCTGCAGCTCCTCGTACGACTGCGGGCTCCCGCCGCCGCTGCTGCTGCCGCCGCCGCCCGCGCCGCCCCCGCCGCCGCAGCCCGCAGACTTCTTGCCGCGCTTGCCCTGCGCCGGGCTGCCGGGCTCGTCGCCGCCTCCGACGCCCCCGCCCGCCGCGCCGCCGGGCCCCGCGCCGCCGCCCGCGCTGCGCCGGCTACTGCGCCGCTTGCGCCCCCCGCGCTTGCCGCTCGGCGGCTGCTGCCGGTCCGGCTCCTCCTCGCTGTTGCTCAGGCTGTCGTCGGCCGGCGAGACTGGCGAGCTGGACACGTCCTGCATCATCTCTCGGGCGGCAGCGCGCGGCCTCTCGGGCCCGGGGCAGAGGAGGAGAAGCGGGGCGCCTCAGCCCGCCAGCTTCCCCCGCGCGCGGCCCGCCGAGGAGGGCGCGGGAGGAGGGCCGGGGAGGATCTCCGCGGGGAGGGCGCGCGGGGGAGGCGGGGAGGGAGGCGGGAGGGGGAGGGGACGGTGTGGATGGCCCCGAGGTCCAAAAAGAAGGCGCCCAACGGCCGCACGCACGCCCCGCTCGGCCTCCGGGAAACGCTGCCGGTGCCGGCGAGCCCGCGAGGTGTCTGGGAGTTGGACGCGAGCTGCACACTCCGAGGCTCTTATACCTCCGTGCAGGCGGAAAGTTGGGGGGCAGTAGTGTCATTGGCCTGACGTGGGGAGGAGGGACTTTTCCAAGTTTTATAGGAAAGTTTCCGCTCGCCAGCCCCCCTCCCCCCGTTCGTCGTCCCCACCCCCCTTCCTCGGGGTCGAACAATCCGTCCTCCCAAACCATTCAAAAAACGACCTGGTCGCGGCGGCCGCCCCTGCGCCCGCCTCCCCGCCGCCCTCCCCCTTCCCTCCCCACCGCCCTCCGCCGCCGCCGGGCGCGGGGCGATTTCCTTCCGTGCCCGTTCGCGAGGGCCGCGCCCCCCACACCCGTGCGCCACTCCCGGGAACCGGCCGGCGGGGACCGTGCGGGCCGCTGGCAAGTCCCTCCCGGAGCGGCCGTGACAGCAGCGACGGCGGCAGCATCGACGCGCGCGGGGTGATCGCCCATCTGGCCCCAGTATCCTCTAGGTCCGTGGGGCCGGTTTGGGATTGCTGGGGCGCGGGGTGGGAGAGTGTCCGAACGTCGGTAACTACAGAGCCCCACTGCCCCCGCCCCGATCAGGTAGACGGACCCCTGGACTGCCACCGCCTCTCGCCCGCCCCGCGCCCCGCACCCCGGACCAAAGCGCTGCGGCCGGCCCCGCGCTCGTGGGCGTTTCTGAAGACGTGGCGGGGCCGCTGCAGACTGCGGCTCAGCGGCCCGGCCTGCTCACTCGCCCTTCCAGAGATGTAGCCAAGCTCTCGTTCCCCTATGGAATGACCCAGTCACACACTTCCCAACACCTTACGGGACAGCACCTCCGAAGGTGCCAGAAAGGCAGAATTCAGGCTTCCGCGGTGGGCCGCTTTGCCGTTGCAAAGAGGCATAGGGCCAGGGGGCGGGGGACGACGCAGCATCTTCGCCCAGGCCAAGCAATCCGCCCTCGGGGGAGGACACTGTGGTGGTGTCTTCTCCACCCCGCTTTCAAACAAGGCCCTGCACTGTGACCTCTCGGGGTTCCTAAGACCCTCTAGGGTTCGACCTGGCCTGGACGCACGGGGCTGATAAAGGGTGCTGAGACTTTGCTTCCTCGACCATCCCTTGAGTAGGAGACTATTGGTCTTTGTTCATCCCAAATGCTTTACAATCGCTTGGACACGGTTGCCTCTTTAGCATCGCTGTCTAATAAGTGAGCAGGGCAAGAGCGCAAAAGGGTGTTTGGTGGAGATCCTGACAAGATGGGAGCTACAGATGTTGATGAGCCGGGAAGAAAGGGAAGGCACTGCGGAAAAGCAGTCCAATTTGGTGGAGAAAAGTCGGACTCGGTTTCTTTCCCCATTTTGGAAGAAGCTGGGGAACAATGTTCGAGATTCATCTCGTACGCTGCAGAGCAAGCCCGAGGTCACAAGTGGTAGCGGTGCTAGGAGCACCGGACGTGGGGTAGGCTGGAAGGGGGATCGGGGATCGGTGCCAGAGTTGTGAGCCAGGCGCTCAGGTCTCCTGCACCGGCAGAGGTGGCCCGGGAGCTCCCAGGTCTATACTCACGAGGCGAGAATTAACTCCGCAAATCTTCCCTCTCTGGGCAGGGCTGAGTGTCCGGGAAGTGCGCGCCCACAGAAGAAGGTGGTAGCTGAGGCTACCCACCCGCGAGCCACGTGGCTGTACCCCGCTGAGACTGGCAGCTCGGATCCCGGAAAGCCCGGGGTCTGGAGCGCCAGGGGACCGCAGAACGGCTAAAGCCTTCGAGGGAAGAAAAGGCAAGATGCAAACCTCCCGTCGTGGGGAAGCACAAGTCGGTGCTTTCGCGGGGTGGAGTGGGGAGGGTTTTGCGGGATTTGTGTATCACTATTTTCAGGAAACACCGAGAGACAATGATCACAGCACACTAAACTGGTCTGCTCCGCAAATCGCTGCTGTGTTTCAAAAACAAAACCTATCTGAAATTACATCCCACTTGTCCCCTACTTAATTCACAATCAGGTACCGCGCCCCCTCCCCACCCCCCAAAGAAAAAGCACTCTGTGAAGACTTCTTGTGTTTGTAGCATCTGTCTGGACGATTTTATCTCTTGGAAATGATTAGAATTAGAATGAGAATTTCTGCCCCATTCCCTGCCAAGTGCTGGCTCTTGTAAATCTAAATTGCAGAGTACTCTGCAGGGCTTATTTGAACGTGACAGCAGAATCATCACAAAATGTTTCCCCTTTTACCCAATCAGTTTTTTTTTAAAGTTTAATCTCAAATCTGAATTTTGTTTTGTTTTTCCTCTCTAGCTGAATTCTCACAAATAAATATAACTCCAATAATTGGACTCTTTCCTTTGTGGCTGTGGGTAAGCAAGACAGGAAAGTGTGGGCAAAGTGTAAAGGAAACTTTATCTGACTAAGGGGAATTGGAGTTGGAGGGGGGGATTTCAAGGGGGATGCAGAAGAAACGGAGTTCACAACCGCGCAGCAGCCAAGGATCATTAGCCAGCTCACTTGGCAAAGTCATCAATCTCCAAGACTAGTTCATAAATAAGTGAGCCCAGCGCCTCTCTGGACACTAAACTTATAAGGAGATAAAGAGCTCCTGGCTGTGGTCTGCTTGGAGCCCCAGGACTCAGACCAGAACACTTAGAAGAGAGGTTACTCTGAATGACCTAACCAGAACCATCCTTGGCAGGGAATCTCCCTGACAAAGTAACAATGAATGACTTTAGTTCTGAGAACATTCTTTATCCTGAAAGGATGTGAGATGGGGTTTGAATGCTCAGATGTGACTTTTTGGGCAAAAGAGAGTATTTTCCAAATGAATTATCACTCAATATGGCTGGGACTTGCTTCATACTCTCTGCTTTGCAAATCCAACGTTGGTGGCCCTATGCCCTACTCTGCACATCACTAGCTATAAACGAATAACCCTTTATCTAAGGACTTTATTATCCACGCCTCTGAGACATAAAAGTTGTAGTTTTATATGTGGATGATCAAAGTATCATTCTGAATCTTGTATAAGTAACAGTAATGGTATCTTCCACAATATTCACACTTAAAAATGAAAAAGGGTGGAGTTCTAAAATTTCTATTCCAGGCTGTTACAGTGTTAGAAAGTTCCCTTTATGGCTAACATTTGACTTGAAGATATCAGTGGAGTTCGTGTGTCGGATCAATTGAAATTAAGTATTTTCATCTACCTCTAAAATAAATTCCCTGGGAGAAAAACTTAACAGAAAGCAAAGTACCTCTCTTGCACTCGGATAATTCAAAATGTTTGTTTTTAAACTGCACACGTGGCATATTTGCAGTCATTTCTGAGGAATGTATTCTGTTTTAAAAACTGAAGGAAAATAGAAGGAACAGACTTAGGAATCTCATACTGATAATATGCAAATGTATATATACATTTATCATTTGAAGATATATTAGCATTCTCTTAGCAGTCATGTAAGTTTCCTAAATACTTTTAGGAAAGTTTCCTAAATACGTTTAGGAAAGAAGAAAGAGCATACACCACAGAACAGTTAGCGAAGGAGTAAATTTTGGTGTTTAAACTAGCACAAAAGATGAGTATTTGAATCTGTTCCTACTTTCTCCTCGGTCTTTGGATGACCTTTCACCTGTTTGTTGGCTTAGAGTTCTGTGAAATAATTTCTTTGGATTGCATGAATGGAACACAGGAGCATTCACACAGAAGGGGGCGCAAATTGGAAAAGTCTGCAGTTGGTGGATCTCAGATGAAGTTGTTATCTTAGATTTTATCATGTTTTGAACATTCCATGGAAATTACTTACTTTGAAATTAAAATGAGAATTTTATAGAAGTAGACTATAACATTTTTGTTGGTACACATAACTATGAGAACTGTGTAAAATAGATTTTTTTCAGTGGCACTGGTGATTTTTGGAGACTTGGCCTTAAATAAGCAGTTATTCTCTTTCTCTTTAATAATACTTTACTTGACACTACGATCCTCTTTCAAAATTTCATTAAGAATAGGAAACAAAATTTAAAGAATTTGAAGCTTTTAACCCAGCAATACAGCTTAAAAGTAGAATGCTGAAGAAATTGGTTTGAGAAGAATAAATAAGCAAATCAACAGTTCAAATAGATATTAATCTTTAAAAATATTTTGGATTCTCACACAAGAAACAAGGATGAAATATGAACTATAACATGCAAAATTTGAAGGAGAAAAGAATCAGCATGGAAAAAATTTGCTATTGGATGAGCAGACAAGAGGGTTTGGTGCTAATTGCTTTATTGAAATACTCTCATTATTTATACAAGGATGCTGGAGTAACTGAAGAAATAATGTAAGAAATGCATAGTTAACATTTTTATCGTGATCATAATCACTTAGTAAGCTTTTAAAATCTCTTCAGTTAAGTCATATGATCAAGGCACTTAAATATAAGCAGAATGCGTTACATGCTTTGTTTTTCCACCTAAAATATCCTTTCTGATTACTAATAACTTTCATTTCTCCACACTTCAGTGATTTCCTTTATTCATAAATGACTTTTCCTGAAGTCATAAAATGTATTTCATTGTTTGGAATGGTTGCTTCTTCAGAAAACATGTTGTTTTTGCCAGTGACCACAAGAGGACACAATTTCCTAGAGAACTTTGTTTAAAAAGAAACTTATAAATGAGGAAAGCTAACACAATAGCAAAAATTCTGTATATCATCAGTGGGTATCATTTTGGAAATTTTTTTAAAAAATTTTATTCTCTTATTAATTTAAGAAAACATAAACATGAGTTAACATTCAAGCGTTAGATTTGGGAGAAGATTTTTTACCTTTTTCTTGGGAACATTTAAAAAAAGCTCATATTTATGAAAATACAGTAAAACACTACCACTGTAAGAAAAACTG